TAAACGAGATAGTTCTTCTTGTAAATCGGAGATATATTGGAAACTATCATTAATTTCAGTACATAATTCAGAAATTAATAGCAAAATAGGCAAACATCACACTTATATTAAAATAAGAAATACAAGATTACAAGGTAAAGGAAAACTTACAAAGGATTACAATGGTGGAAATAGATTGGACAGAGCATCCAATATAATACGCCCACTAGTAATAATTACACACCCAATTACACTCACACTTCGCTAATATATAGATGTTTGGATTTCTAAAAGCGTGTCTACTTCTGCTGAAGCTTGTTGCTTATATAGAGCTAGGAGGTTAGCACAGAAATGGTTTGGAGTCCGAAGAGATAAGGAGGAATCTACTTTTCTTTTGTCAGTGCAAGGAATCTACTTTTGTTGCAGGCGTCACATGGGAGATGCATTATAGGAATTTGCTTTTGAGCTAGAAAGTAATATGGACAAACTTGCTTTTGAATTATTGAGTAGTTTTGTCAAAGCAATATAAATGGAATCTTGCTTTATAAATTATTGAGGTCAATTCCTTCATAGGTGTCAGAATAGTCTTCGTCCAAGTCTTGAGTTGGAATCCGTGTGGGAGAAGATGTTGGAGAGACTGTCGATGACCTTGCTTTAGTGATGATAGGTGGAAGAGTCTCTAATATAATGTCTTTATCATAATCGGATAGGGATTTGGCTTCAGTCATGAGAATCATTTTCATTTTGATTGCTTTTTTATATTTATGTTCAAATTCATTCTTGGAAATTGAGGGATATTTATCTTTTTTCTTTTCAAGTTCGAGTCTAAAATTATCATAATCAAAAGATTTTAAGGATTTTGGACTAGAAGAAGCCATAGAAGGGCCAAGATTGATGGATGCAATTTGTTTCTGCTTCTTGTAGTATTGACAGAGTTGATCTGGATAATGCTCGTGAGGAATATTATAATTTTTCCACCACTTAGTGGCTATCTGCCGGGTGAGATATTGGGTATTATGTGGAAAAGAAGTGGTATATTGCCATGCCATTATCCATGGGAGCTTAAAATCAATAACAAAGTAGAGGAATTCAGGGAATGGAGGTTCAACCTCAGACAGATAAATATGCTATGAGTCCTGTAGAGGATCAGATAGAGCAGCAAATTGGAGGCCAAATTGATGCCACCAGGTTTCAAACCATGTAAGGATATCCCCAATAGTGATTGTAAAGTTGAGTCCAAATCGAATCCACCAGGTGTACTGGAAAAATTGATTTTGGAAGTAGAAAACATGAAACCATGCTTGTTGATAATCATAATAGTTATATTGAGCAGGTTTAATGTGAGAATCAGAGAATTTTCGAAATATGGTAGGATGACCCCATTCAGTTGGAGAAAAGTTTGGAATATTGAAGAAGGGTCTTATCTTCTTTAGAACAGACATGGTCAATGGAGATAGAGTTGGTTTCTTCAAGGACTTTCATAAAAAAGGCGGGAATACTGACCAGAATGTGGAGGATAATGCCAGTTATTTGGAAAATAAGCGGAAATGAGGGTTTCAGGTTTGATATTGGGCTTTTGCTGTAAGTGGTCAACATGACCAGTAATTAATGGAACGATGGGGTATGATGTATCGTGAGTATAATAACCATGATTGGCGGTAGCAGAAGTACTAGATGTTTTGAAATTGGGTTCTCCTTTGGACGAAGTAGCTTGAGAGTTCTTCAAATTATATGCCATCCAAAAATAATATCTTTTGAGGCGGATGGACCATCGGTGGTGGTGAAGATTGAAAATAATTCAAAAGTAAGTTTGTCCCTACTACTTTCCAGCTCAAAAGCAAATTCCTATAAGGCATCTCCCATGTGACGCCTGCAACAAAAGCAGATTCGTTGCACCAACAAAATAAAAGTAGATTTCTCCTTATCTCTTCGGACTCCAAACCATTTCAATTCCGACCTCCTAGCTCTACAGAAGCAACCTCTTTCAGTAGAAGTTGACACGCGCTTTCAGAAATCCAAACATTTGTATATTATCTAAGTGTGAGAGTGTGATTGTAAGTGTAAGTGTAATTGGGAGTGTAATTATTACTAGTGGGCGTATCATATTGGATGCTATGTCCATTCTGTTTCCACCATTGTAAATTGTAATCCTTTGTAAGTTTTCCTTATCTTATATTTCTTATTTTAATATAAGTGTGATGTTTGCCTATTATGCTTTTAATTTCTAAATTACGTACTGAAATTAATGATAGTTTCCAATATATCTCTCATTTACAAAAAAAATATCTCATTTAAGATTATTACTATCACTTGCCTTCGGACAATCAAAATACCTTAAATTGTGTCAATTTAGTTTCGAATGTATAAAAAGTGTTTAATTTGGTCCCTAACCTAACTCCATTAATAGACACCATTACAGTCAAATATAAATGTGTAATTATGTAGACCAAAATGACGCATATAAGAGTATCTCCAATCTTTCACCAATTTTTTCATCTAATTTGATTCTCAATTTGAGAAAAAAGTTTGATTTGATATGAACTATCACAATCCTTTCATCAAATTTTAATCAAGTCTTTATAAAAATTCCGATCTTACCCCAAATTTTACTTTTCATCAAATTTGACCATCTTTTTGAATGTTCATCAAATTTAAATTTGCTAAGGATTCAATAAGTTCTCAATTTGATGAAAAATAATGATTTGATGAACATTTGACAAAAGGATTGGCTATGATTTTTAAGCACTTCTTTATAAATTTGATGAAAGAAAAGGTAAAAGATTAGAGATGACGTACCATGTTTTGGGACTGAAGTGTAATTTTATAAAGTGAGTTTCACACACATCACACATTTTGAAAAATAAAAGTAATTTAAGGGACTCACATTTAACTGGATTTTTACAGATGGAGTTAGGTTCCAAAATTGAAACACTTTCTATACAATGAAGATCAAAATAACACCAATAAGGCTATCTTTAATCCAGACTCGTATCTTTCATCAAATTTAAATTTGATGAAAATTTGGTAAAAACGGTGCTTCAAAATAAAGGGAGAGATATATTTTTCATCAAATCAAAGAAGCATTTAGCCTTTCATCAAATTTTACAGGTAGCCATTGGTGGACAACCGGATTTTGGCCTTATTAACCAAAAATTTACTCTCGGCTGAACGACCAGCCAGATTTGATGAAAATCTTAGTTCACCATTCAAGATCAAACTTTTCAAAATTTGATGAACGATTAGAGATGCTCTAACATATTTTGGTTAAAAATGTAATTTTTTTTTGATAACTCGGTATTCGGTCTTAAGAACTAATTAATGAGGGACCCATCATGTCCCCACCATCCATTAGTTAGGCAAAGCCGGTGTGAACTAGCCATAACAAATTGTTTGCACCTAGGACATTTCGAACATAGACCACACCCCAAAACCAGGCCTTGGCTAAAAATGTAATTAACCCTAACACTATTTGGATGAAAGGATTTGGTGAGAAAAGAAAATAAATGGTGAGAATTGAAAACCCTTCACTTTTTTGGATAGTTAAGTAAGGTGAGCAATAGTGAGAAATGATAAAGATGGTGAGAAATGGACTCTCACCAAATCTGTGTTTTGTTTCTCACTAAAAGTGGTGAAATTTGATAAGAAAAGAATTAGGTTTAAGAGCATCCCCACCAGAGCCCCCAAACCCCCTCCTTACCTATTTTAAGAGATAGATGGCTCTCTGTACACCTACATCAGCTCCTCTAAATAATTCCCTAAATTAGATTTGCCACAGTGGCTCCCTATTTATAGGGAGGCACTGTAGCTCCCTTATATATATATATATATATATATATTTTTTTTTTGTTTTTTTTTTTTTAGGGACTGTGGTACACATTTATAACTTATTAAATTTGATAGTACACATTTATGATTTTTATTTTTTTTAAATTTATAATTAAAAATTATATTTTAATAAAAAAAATAGGGAGTTTGTTAATAGAATATAGGAAGAATAGGGAGTCTGTTGGGAGAAGTAGATGAAAAAGTGATTCCTAAAATAAGAAATTAATTTTTTAATAATATTTTAGGGTAAAATTTAGGTCTTATTTGTCATAACCTAAAAAAGCCAAAAAGTTAATATTTTATTTAAGTCACATCATATTATTTAAGTCACATCATCTCTCTACCACATCACTTCAAACCCAACCTATACCCAACCCATATTTCATAAAAATCAAAAAGTACACTTATTTATATCATTCCAAACCACCCCTTAGATAAACTGGTGAGAATGCTCTAATGAAACTTACTTAAAATACCAAAATTACTGTTATAAAAATAAAAAATAAAAAATAAATAAAAACTTACTAATATGAAAGATTATTTTAGTAAAATGAAATAAAATACTTTCTTTTCCCTTCTCTTACTTTACTCTATCCAAATAAGATAGTTGAGAAATTACATTCTCGTCTCTTTTAAATGATAAAAAATCATAATCATTTATCTTCTTTTCTCACAACACAATCATTTCTTTTCTTTTCTCATCTCCCTGTTCGGTTCGGTCAGTATTAAGAGTATATTTAGTACCGAACCGATCCTTCAATTTTTATGATTGAGAAACTGATACAGACCTTATGCTACAGTTAAATTTATCGATTTTGTGGGTTTGATGTAGAAGGAAAATTCACAAGAAATTTTAAAAGGTTTTATAATAGATTATAGAATTTTACATTAAAAATATATTAAAATTGCTCAATAAATATTTTTCTCACTAATTTTTATTTTGTATGTTATATTAATTATAAAAAAATTATAATATAAAAATATTTAAATATAATATTCGGTCGGTTGAATTGGTTTCATAAAAAGTTTTAAAACTGTAGGTTAAGAAAAACAGACCGAAATCTAAAATTTCGGTCGGTAGACTCGTTTTTATCGACTTTTCTTCTATCCCTAATCCAAACCGAGTGTAAAACAAGAGAACTACAAAGATCATACACATAGATGATACACTATCAAATCAGTAATAAGAAACTAACCATCTTGAGGCATCAGAGGATAATCCTCCGAGCTGAGATTTATAAACCAATCCCACTTCGCCTTCTTCAACAATATCGCCACCGCATGAAGCGTCAACGCCACCATCGTCGGACCCTTATACGTCACCAGATTAGCCTTACCCACCACCATCACATTCCCAAACTCCCCAACCACCGCCTCCGACTTCACATCCCTAGCCAGCTCGAGCCGCTCGGCGGCCGAAGCTCCCAGATCAAGGTGCAGCAGATAGTAGTTCCTCGGGTGGTACGCCGCCTGAAGCAGCCGCTTGAGCCGCCGCCCATCGCCCCTCGTCCCCGATAGCAAGTACGCCAATCTCGGCAGCTCCGGCGGCTTCAGCAGGGAAGCCGTCGAAGCCGAAGCTTCCGATTTGGGAAAAGATGGAGGTGATTTGTGGTGCCCTTGGTTTGTTGTGAGGAGTAAGATGAGAGAGATTGTTGATATGAGGGATAATGGGATGACCCATTTGCGATTGAAGCAGAGAGGAATGCGAATGTGAGACCTTTTCATCTGGAAAATGGGATTAGGGTTTTGGTGTGTGAAAGTTTTAGTTGAAGATTGGTTGGGAATTGGAAGAGAATGGGAGCTAAATTTGGGGGTTTTGGAGTTGGTTTTTGCTTAGCTTAGACGGGAAAACAATGGGTGGTTGGTGGGGTTTAAGAGTGAATTTGAAGCTTTTATAGAGGTTGGTTGTGAAGGGAAATGGTGGACTGAAATGTCTATCTTTCTCACGTCTGTCTTTTAGAGGGATATCTCGAGGCTTTTCTCAATATAACCCTTTTTTACATTGTATTTTCAAAATTAGGTTAATTTTTAACGGAATTTCAAAATTAAGCTAAAGCGTCATTACTATTCGCGCTTTTACTGTTAGGAGGCCAAAAGTTGATGAATAGTGAAATCGCTATTTGATATCGCGATTTTAATTAAGAAAACGTTGTTCCAAATCGCGCTTTTAACATAAAAAAAATTTCTGAAGAAAACGCTATTTAAAATAGCGTTTTTACTGTGTACTCCCTCCGTCCCATAATATTAGTCCCTTATTCCATTTTTCATTGTCCCAAAATATTAATCCCTCTTCAAAAATCAAGTACAAAAATAATATAAATTTCCCATTTTGCCCTTCTTTTAAATTCATAAATAATATAAAAAGTACAATTATGACATTGATATTCTCAAAAAAGGGTAATTTTGGAAAACCAACTTTTTAAAAGTACAATAATTGTACTACCAAAAAACGTTGGATTCCCCAAAAGGGACCATTATTTTGGGACGGAGGGAGTATATAATATTTTATTTTTTTTAAAAAAAAAACGCCATTTGAAATGGCGTTTCTACTGTTGAACCCCCTACCAAAGCCAACCCACACACTAACACACACACAATGGGCACACCCACAACACTCAAGCATTGAAATAATATAATTTTTATATATAATAATAATTTATAATAGTCAATTATATAATTTTTATAATTTTCGTAAATATAAATTATTTTTAGGTTATGAATGGTTTGATTTATAATACATATCTAACGGTCAAAAATTTTATAATAAAAAATAATCGATTATAAATTTTTTTAATCAAAAATAATCGATTATAAATTTTTATAATCAAAAATAATTTATAATACGTATGTATTATAAATTTTTTTATAATAACTTATAATACGTATGTATTATTTAAATCTTTACATTTTTTATTTAAAATTTTTTACAGTAAACCCATCTTCACATTTTATAATACGTATGTATTATTCAAAAATAATTTATAAAAATTTATAATTAATACGTATGTAAATAATTTAATACGTATCTTCACATTTACATTTACAGTAAACCCATCTTCACATTTACATATGTATGGTTTAAGGGTAAATTTTTTGATAAATGACTTAAATGATAAATCAAACCATCCATAACATAAATCAAACCATTCATAACCTAAAATTTTTTACCCTTACATACGTATAAAATTTATAATCGATTATTTTTTATTATAAAATTTTTGACCGTTAGATATGTATTATAAATCAAACCATTCATAACCTAAAAATGATTTATATTTACGAAAATTATAAAAATTATATAATTGACTATTATAAATTATTATTATATATAAAAATTATATTATTTCAATGCTTGAGTGTTGTGGGTGTGCCCATTGGTATGTGTGTCAGTGTGTGGGTTGGCTTTGGTTGGTGGTTCAACAGTAGAAACGCCATTTCAAATGGCGTTTTTTTAAAAAAAAAAAAATATTATATACACAGTAAAAGCGCTATTTTAAATAGCGTTTTCTTCAGAAATTTTTTTTATGTTAAAAGCGCGATTTGGAACAGCGTTTTCTTAATTAAAATCGCGATTTCAAATAGCGATTTCACTATTCATCAACTTTTGGCCTCCTAACAGTAAAAGCGCGAATAGTAATGGCGTTTTAGCTTAGTTTTGGAATTCCGTCAGAAGTTGGCCTAGTTTTGGAAATACAATTAAAAAAATGCTTATATTGGGAAAAGCCTCGGATATCTTTCTCACATCTTTGTTACATAATAATTCAATTAAATTAGAGGGATGCTATTAGCACCTAGGAGGGTGCATAATACTGTCGAAATCGCCGAAATCGTCAAAATTACACCGAATCGCACCGTCAAGATAAATTCGTTATTATTTACCAATTGAACTGCCGGTTTTTGGTAAGAAAAATGGCAAATTTTTGTGACACTTTTATCAATTCGTCGGTCTCTATTTTTCTTTCAAACCACATCGACCCGCACCGCTATTAAATCATGTTTTATAAGATTCTAAAAATTCTTTTTTATTTAAGTTTACTTGTTGTTCTATATCTTAGAATATAGTATTACATTACTGCTCAAGGGGAATTCAAGATGTCAGTAATCCAAAATAAAGTTGGATTCCAATTCATTTTTCAATCCTTTTTTTTTCTGGCCATGTTGCAAACTTGCATCAGCTCACTTTTCAATCTAAATACTTTTCAGCAGTAAATATTTTCAATATATTGTAAACCCTGAATGATAGTAATTTTATGTATTATATTTGATCATTGTAGCTTCCACAGATGCTTGTAATGAATTGATGGCATAATCGTTGATATTATCATGTTGTTGCTACACTTGTTGCATCAGAAGAAAGCTTCGCAAGATACTTAACATCACGGTATCTCTCGTCTTTTTTTTACTCTTTGATTTAAGTTTTGTAATTTGAATTATATTTTTTATAAATCGCCAATCCGCGCCGAACCGCCAAGGCAAATTCGCCATTATTTGTCAACTGAACTGCCGGTTTTTGATAAGAAAAATAGCAAATTCTAGTGACACTTTTATCAATCTGTCACCCGCTATATGGTTTCTATTTTTCTCTCAAACTGCACCGACCCGCACCGCGCACACCCCTATTAGCACCTGTCAAAACTTTTTGGACCCCCTATTTTATAATTTTTTTTATTACAATTATACCCTAAAATAAAATTACATTAAAAGACATTATTAAATGGAACACCCACCTATCAATAAGAACTAATACTCTATAATATTGGACACCCACCCCCAACCCCACCCTCACCCATACGTATTCCATGTTTGTAAACCCTAAACCTATTACTTTTGTCTCCAACTCCAACTCCAACTATACGTATTTCATGTTTGTAAACGCTAAACTTATTACTTTTCATAACCAACTAATATAAATCCTAAATTTATTATTTTTCATAATCATCTTAAATCCTGAATGTGTTATCTTCATCACCATCATCAACGTTATTGAACTTGAAAGTTTTGCTTCAAGTATAACGTATACTTCATCACTTATTTTATTGTGTAGAGCAATGGAGGACGAAGACAATAATTCTAGTGAGACCGGCGTTCCATTAATAAGTTTATCTGTCTTGTATTAACATTCTCGGTCATTTTCGATCGTTCTTATTTCGTTCAAGCTGTTCGGTACTAGTTTGCTGACTGTTAAAATTATGTTCGGTAATACAGTACTGAACATAATCCTTTCGTTCAATACATAGGTTCCGAACATTAATGCAGATAGTCAGTTATGTAATTTTCTTTGTTAAACTAACTTAGAATGGAAAAAAGTGAATTGGAATGGATTTAAGTTATGTATTTTGAATGGATTTAATTCATGTTATTTTAAGTTGTGAATTGAACTGGATTCAAGTTACACGGTGATGAACAAATTTTGTTCGGGCATACAGTGCTGACAAGATCATTATTGTTCGACAAAATAATTCTGAACAAAATACATTTTTTCGGCTACACAGTGGTGAACAAATTCAAAATCATCACTCGAATCTGCTAATCTCCTATCGAGATTCTTGAATTTAGGGCATTTAGATGAAAGCTTTAATCTGGTTCTCCTGGCTTGTCTCCAAAAACCCAGATGTAGAAACTGTGATTCTTACATAAATCAATAAGAAATCCGAAGCTCCGATCTACGAAGAAATGAATGACATGGTTTACACACACGCGTCGCTGAGCAAGACCATGAGACTCTACCCACCCATCCCCATTGACGGAAAACAAGCTTTAAAGAACGACGTGTTGCCAGATGGAACAGTAGTGAAGAAGGGTATGAGAGTGAATTACGATCCTTACGTAATGGGGAGGTCGGAGGAACTATACTGGACCAAAGCTCCAAACTCTGAAGATTGAGTGAGTCAGGGAAAAAGAGGGATGAAAAATTAGGTGGGTGTGCATTTCATTGTGAAAATATTATGAATATGGGTAGATTTGGTAATAAGTAGGGTGTCCAAAAAAATATTATTAAAATTTAGGATTTAGGGTTGGGGTCCAAAAAAATGAGAGGTCCAAAGAATTTTGATAGGTGCTAATAGCAGCACTCTTAAATTATAGTATGATGTTTCCCCCCTAAATAAAGGATAAATTACACTTATCTTTTTAAATTTGAAAAATATATATATATAATTACTCTCACACTTTAATATAATTACACGAGTATCTGTTGAAAATTTAATTTATATAATAATTTGGTCATTTTAAATTAGTAATTCGTTAGTCGTAATAAAGATAAAAATAAAAAATGAATCAATTTGACTTGCATATTATTTGGTTTAAAAAATAGATTTAGAAAGTGAGTTGATGGCCTCTTTTGAAAAGACAAAAAAAGTCAATTTATTAGCTTCAACTTTTTATTTTTTTTGGCACGTTTTCATAATAAGTCAATATACAAAAAAAAAAGAAAATCACTTCCAAATGTATATTTATCTTTGTTTGTTTCAGTGTTTATCTACTGTCTACATTAGTTTTAGCCAATTTAAACCCTGAGGTCCTGAGGTATAAATTTTAAGGTTTCAGGTTTCACTTTTCCCAGGGCCAGCCATTCGAGCAACAACACGTATGGTTGATAAGATGAACCTTCCAAACCTAAGTAAACCATACCATATGCATTCGAATCCCTACTTGTGTGCGAATCTATGACTTTACTGCTACATGTTTAAGTGGCTATGTTGTGTAACATCACCTAATTTTGACCTTTGGAGCTTCATCTTCTTAGGGTCTAGTCCTAGAGATCACCCTTCTATTGTTAGGCTAGTTTCTTATTAAAGTGAAATCAATATAATTAACCCAGGGGTGAGTGGCAACCTGGTAAGGGCCTGGGGTTTAAGCCCCTAGGTCCTGGGTTCAACTCCCCTCTGGGCCAATCTCCTGGGCGTAGCACAGTTGGTTAGAAGGTTGACCTCAAGGATGCCTTATCAGCTACTTGGTGTGG